TCTGGAACACTCACCACTTGCAGTGTGAAGACCACTGTATGCTGTCTTAAACTAGATCTTTAGTGTTAGGTGTCTCCATGTGGGCATTTACAGTGCATCTTTATTATTACCCTACATCAATGACGAGCTTTGATTTGGACTGCTGGTGTCATAGTTAAGTTTCATTATTTTAAGATCACATTGCACACCTTCTTCCAATATATGGATGATTTAGACTGGGGGAACAACAGCAATCAGCTGAAACCATGCTGCGGGATAATTACTGAGCTGAGGTCTTTAGGTTCCTGCGCCCATTGCCACTCCCTGCCACTGACTAGTCGAACCATTTTTCAAAAGGTGGAGGACTAGGATCTGTGTCTAGATGTAAAGGCAATGTGGTAGGCTAGAAGATGGAGTTGGGTCCCTTCAAGAGTCCTCTATGGATGGTCTTGTTCAGGCTCAAAGACGGTATGTCCATTTGTTAGCAATGTGTGTTAAAGAATAACAATAACCAGTGCCTGTTCCCTGGGCGCAGAATGGGAGAGCAGGGTCCCAAGTGCTGCCCACTTCTGTCCATGTCTCTGTAGAGGGTAGCTCACAGCATGCATGTAGATTCCTCCAGTAACTTGGAAGTCTGCAGGGGGTTTCAAATTGCAGGGGGAACCTGGGCGCATGGGCGAGTGCCCCTCTTGCTCACCCCACAACCACGGACGACAAGGGGCAGGGATGAGGCTGGTGGGCACGTCCCCGTTAACACATCTGTTCAATAGCTTGTCACCTGGAGCTGACAGTCAAATGCAGCTTATGCTTTGTTCCCGTTTTAAAAGAAACACACCGTTTTAAAACTATGACAGTTTTCAAGGGTGTTGAATCAAGTCATGGAATCAATGCTAGGTCTTATCAGTGAGATAAAATCAGTTTTAGATGGCATCTTGTAAGTAAATGTTTGGGAATAAGTGATCTCATCTAAAAGATAAAGTCGATGGAATGTATATTGGAAAGCCATCAGAAGCCATGTAAGCACAAGTCTTATTTTAAAATATAGTGAATAAACAAAAAGAAATTTAAACAGCAAACCCACTTCCATCTGAAACTTAACTGGGGCCAATGTCAACAGAAGACATCACGTACCCTGTTAATCTCAAGTTACTAACAGAAACACATACATTTGCTTGCAGTTTAATATTTTAATGCCTTGCTCCCACAAGTCTTTCACACAAATTACATAAAACCAAGACAAACAAAAAAACCTGCCTGGATATAGTTGTTCACTGCTTTGGAAAAAGTGGATTTCCAAGTTCAGGAAAGATAGGGGGAAGAAACCTGGGGCATTTTTGAACATCTCACTTAAGTTGGTTGAATTCTTAACATATGCAATTGAAATCTAATATCTACTTTGTCTAGAATGAAGCTTCTATGGGAAAATGTCTCTCTTCTGTTTCTGTCTTGCAATAACAACATTCACCTGTGCATACAAATAGTAAAAGAGGGTCTTCAGCATGTCCTTGGAATAATATGTGAAAACCTCTGGTATGGTGCTGCCCAGGGGCAGTACTAAAGTTCAGGCCCACAAGACAAAAACAAAAGCAAGCAAGCAAGAAATAACAATTTTTCATAAACTAATGTCCATATGATATAAAATCTCTGTGTGCATGTGTGTCTTTAAAGGGCCCTGTCTCCAACGGACACCTTTATTTGTAAAAAGGGATGTATGGTCGGGGAGAGGAGGGCATTTGATTTGAAGGGGGGAAGCCTCAGGCAGAAAAACTCAAGGGGTGCAAAAGCAGAAGATGCACCTGCGAGAAGAAGCCAGTTCATCAGGTCCAATAGAGATCGACAGGGCCCCATACCTTTATTTCAGGAAGCAACCATAGAAAGCTGGATGGCAGGGTAGATGGCCTCCCAGAGGCCTGGGGCTCCAGCCCTAATACTGCTTTTGGTGCTGTCCATACCTGGATGCTCCGGGAGGAGCGGGGTTTACACAGTCATCATGGGAGAAAACAAGGCACCTTGGCTTATAGCATGTCCTGGCCAGGGCAGGCTGCTGTGTCCTGTAAACCCAGGCACCATGGCTTCTTGGACTGGACAGCAACCCTCAGTTAAGCCACAGGCTGTTACTGGTTTGCTTCCACTCCAAAGAGGCCACAGGAGGAGAATCCACGGAAAACTGGGCACCTGTGGGCAGCATGCAAAACTGGTGCTTGTGGGATGCTGGGCACAGAAGCTCCCAGGGTGAATGAAGCCATGGTGGGCTGCTGTGTCATGCACACCAGCCAGTGCCCTCTGTGTTCTTCTGGCTTTCCCTCTGCAGCCAGAATCTTCATGACTCAAAAGTAAGTCTCAATGAGTTCGCTGGGTCTTTATTTGGAGGTAAGCGTGCATAAGATTTCATCCTTGGACCGGTCTGTTTCACTGTCCCCAGTGTATTCTGCTGTGGCAGGCAGCTTGCATGGCAGTCTGTTACTTTGCTCATTTTGGTCAGGACACCTCTGTGCTCACTGTGGGGAGGGGGAATTCAGTTTCTGTCAGCTGCTGATTTGGGAGTAACCAACACGGACTCTTCCTGTAACTTCCTGTGCATCATGTAGAATTGGATGTGTTGCCTCTTTGGTTGTTGCTTCATAGAAAAGCCTTTAGAATTGGGAAGTTTTACTGCAATCCATACACTAGGGGTAGGTGAATCTATTTCCTGTCTGTATCACTTTTCTACGTTCCTACTTATAATTCCATTTCTGTATTAATCTGTGAATTTTTCTGAGAAACAAAATCTTCACAAAATGCATATTTAACCACATACTTTCTTTCAAAATAGTATTTAGATTCATGTTATGGCATTTTTAAACTGGCACAAATTGCACTGCCGCATTCTGAAAAGTTAGAAATCTGTTGTACAGCTACATTCTTTTTGCACATTAGTCTCAATTTATGAGAAATACAGAATAGGTCATTTCATATAGGAATATGGAAAGATCAAATCCCCCCAGCATAAACTAATCTTTGTTCTTCTAAGCTCATTGCATTCTATTTTGTTTTGAGTGGATATAGTGTTTGCCTATTCCCTACTGACATGTTTGAAAATTGTCAACATGGCTCATCAATCGTCTTTTGTTTTAGGCCAGTGGTTTTCAGACTGTGTTCTAAGGAACCCTGGGGTTTCTTGGAAGCTTATTAGCTTCCCTTAATGAGAAGATCAGTAAATGACAAGGTATCCTGAAAGCTAGCTCGTTCTTCATACTCAGTCCTTTCTTACAATGTACAGCTGCAGAAGAGGCTGGAGTATGGGCTTAGATATACCCTCGATTTACACAGGGGGCCAATCTTGGCCAGAACTTTGCATGAAAAACCGTTCTCCTTCAAAATGCTCCAGAATCATCTCCAGTGCATGGTACTTGTTGTGGCAGACACTAATGTGAAAATGTTACAGACTGGCAAGCTTCCCTCAAGTTGGTTCAGGAAAGAATGGCGCTATTTACCTCCAGCAAATATTTACCCCAGTGGTGCCCTGCTCAACCAGTCCGGGCAGCTCTTCAAAGCAGCAATCAACAAAGCAATGGGATCAGTTAACTTGGGCTCTGAATCCTCATGGTAGACTGAAGATGGATGAATCTGTCAGATCCACTTTTTCCTGCATGTGATGTTTTTAAATCTCAAGTTCTTTTTCTCCAAAATACAAACTTTGTGAATTTTGCTAAACTCTTATCACAAGGAAGCGAGAGAAAATCCTCACCCATCTTTCCCAGCAAAATTTAATAAGTACTAGTATTCCCAAGAAGGAGTGGATCACGAAGTAGCTCCCTACTATACAGTGGTGAATGATGAGGAGCCAGTCAGAAAAAAGAGGTTGCAACCCTATTATTATTTCTATTATTTCATTGCATTCATATCCTACCTTTCTTTCTTTTGCAAGGAACACAAGGCAGCTTATAAGGTTCTCTTCCTCTCAGTTTTATCCTCACAACAACAACCCTGTGAGGTAGGTCAGACTGAGTCTGTGAGTGGCTCAAAGACACCCAGTGAGCTTCATAGCCAAGTCCCAGTCCAGAACTCTTAACCACTACACCACATGGCTCTCATTCCAACATGCGGAACTATATGGGGATTGAAACATAGGCTTTTTGGAACCAAGCATTCAAAGCTTTGACTGTGGAGAAACAAATCTGCCAGTTTTGCTTTCTTTCTAGTTCATTTCTTCAAACAAATATGGAGAACTTTGCAAATTTTGGCATATTCTCCTCAAAAACTAAACTGAAATGAATTTCTTAGCTATCCTTTCTAGACCAGAGGTTCTATATGGGAGGTAGTTTAGGCTCCCATGAAAAGTTTTCCTAGGGCCAGGTCTTCAAAACAATTCCCTAGTGATTTCACAGAAACAGTTCCCCATGGCTTTGCTTTTTTTTTGGGGTGGGGGGCTGTCCCCAGGAAAACTGGAACATGGGAGAAGATCCTTCGTCCATTATGGGAGAACAAACTGAGCTGAAGTATCCTCTCCTTCCTAGTCTTTGTTTTAGCCAAACTGGACAAATATGGCCAGTTCCCTCAAGCCTTTCATTATATAAATCGCATGACAGTCCTTTAAAACATTCTTAGAGCACCTTCTGATACTCTGGAATTGCTTTTGAAGATCTCAGTATTGTCCTTCCATTATGGCTCCTAGGAATCCTTGCACATTGCCAAATAAGTTGCAAACACATTTGAGCCACACACCCACAATCCCTCCACTCCCTACTCCACATTTTTATTTTTTTTATTTATTTAAAATACTTATATGCCGCCTACTCTACTTATGACATCTCTGGGCATCTCATTTTTTTCTCACACTCAAGACACATGCATACACGCATACATGGTCGCAGCTGCAAAACCTGGGGCAGGTGGTGGGGAGGCCTGGGGGTAGAATCTCTTTTGGAGACATAACAGCTGAAAATACGGTTTAAGAGCCTAGCTAGGAAAAGTTACATTGATCAATTCTTTAGACCATTCTGAGCACAACCTTGTTGCCCAGAATGCAAACAGCAGCTTACCGTGGGTTGGAATGGGAAAGAGGGTTCATTTCTTTCTGATAGTGACACCCTTGATTGACAGGCTGTGGGAGACACAAGAAGTAGAAGTGAGGAAATTATTTTCTCGACTTTCTTCTCATATGGCTAAATCTACAGTATTAAGGATTTAGTGTGACCATGGGACATGGTCCTTACAGAACCATGTTAATATCGAGACAAGTTCCTCATTCCTCCTGCACAATGGAGGGGAAGAGGGAACAAAGGGAGGGGAGGAAGGATGAGGCAAGGGTTACAAGGGCTACAACATAACCTGTGTAGTGTAACTGTACATTCACGTAGTTGGGAAAGAACTGTCAATAATAAACATCTGCATATTTTCTCTTTCACACACACACACAAAGTTTTCGAATGATATAATGGTCCAGGCATATTCACATTCGGAAAAATTACCAGTAATAATTTGCATTCTCTCTCCTCACCCCTCATTCCTTTTGCAAATTCCAGCATTTTCAGCATTGGGTAACATGTATGAAAATGCTGACATATAATTGATTTTTAGTTTAATATTTAAATTCTTTTTAAAATATTCATAATTTCTGAAAAAATGTTCTGTGCCTGATTTAGAAACTAGGCATTTCTGAAAAATATCTCTTTAGAAGATTTAAAAGTCACTTAAAGAAATTATTGTACCTGACAGCTAAGGAGAGTAATATGCAGTTCTCAATGCTATTATATTCCTTTTGGACTGACAGTTTGAAGCAGCTGCTAAACAATTTATATTTCAACAATTTCTCCTGACAGCCTAGTTATTACATTTCAATTCTTGGTAAACTATCACTGGCTATAAAATACAGTTTTTAGTATATCACTTTTATGTTGCATGAGAGCATCTGTTCATGCATTTAACTTGCATGCTGGCTATGGGGTTCTATATCTTTATAGATCAAGAAAGAATTCTCTCCCCCTACCCCCACATTAAAGCTACTAATAGAAGGACACTTAATAATCAACTTGTAGGGCTGGGGTCAAAGTACAAGGGGGGAAAGCCCAGGATAATTGTGTAAATAAATAAACCTGAGTATTTAGTATTCGAGAATGTACAAGCATACTAACAACCTCACGGCAAAGATAAACGACAGACAAAAACAGCCTTCTGGTGGTGCTGTTGCCATAGATTAGACCAACGGACAAAGAGGTTATGTAAAATTAGCCAATATCTAGAACAAAAAGCCTTGCTTTCTGGTGAGAAGCTGCCTATAATGTATATGGGAAAATTAGCAGAGATTTGATGAGCAAGGAGGATTGGGGGAAAATATGATTAATTGAAATGAGACAAGACTTTATCATTTCTCACAAGAAAAGAATGCACGGAAGACAATTTCCTGCAGGATCATCAAGGCAAGGAAAACTTTAAAAATAAGTCATTTAGTTTTTAAATACAAGTATCAGAACAATACCACTGCAGTATACAAAGGAGAAATGATGTGGGGCACTGCAATTTTGCTTTACAAGCATAAAAATATGATTCCTATAAAGGGCCTAATTTTCATCAGCCTTGCAGCTGTGGGAGGTAAAGCACTTCTGAAAGTCAGTGCCAAAGCAAGAGAAAATTTGCCATGTCTAATGGCAAATTCAAGAATGCAGAACAAAATTGAAGAAGCTATAGCATGTTCATTTAAAGAGGTAATGTATCTTATAGCTCAATATGTGAAGACAAACCTTCAGAAACGGACAAGGACTCTGAATGTGTTCAGTCCAAAAGGGTGTCTGGGACTAATTCCCTGCCAGCTTCTGAACTCCTGTTCTGTAGCTATCGCCACATTCCTGCTGGCTCCGTACTGTCACAGGCGAGGCTTGAAAAGCAAGCACCACTCCTTCGAGGGAGAAAGCCTCATGCACTCTGCCTTCAGGAAGCCCAAGTCCCATTTACAGCTCAGTCTGTCATACGAGCTAAGAGCTAAGCTTGTTTGGCTTCTGCACAGGCCCAGTTTGTCCTGAGGGGCAGCCCGGTATGTAAACATTCCACACATTCTAGAGCAATAAAACTAAAGCTCTTTAATGCTAATTGTCTACAAGATTTACAATTCTATAGATAAGTTCCCTAATAGCGGTCCTTGCTAAGCAGCTGTCAGCCCTATAATGGCTTCTCTTCCTGGGCCCATGTGGGATCATTCTCCCAAGTCATGCCTTTCCTCCCTCTAACGCAGTCTACTTTGTAGCTGTTCAAATCAGCGTAAACTACGTCTGTTCTGGGCTCTTGAAAAATCTACCACACCTATTGTGTCTTCTGTTTCTGGCTCAGGGAGATCAGCATCGGGGGGGGGGAGGGGGAAGAGGCAGTTTGCTCTGCCTCCTGAGTAGGACTTGCAGCTTCCTCTCTCTCATGACTCTGTCTCTGATAAAGGTCCAGGCATTTGCTCAACGTGCTGGGGCTCAGAGGCAGACGCAGTAGCTGGCTCAGCCATCCCTGCATTGGGTTGTGGGGTCGACTCTTGGGCACTGGGTGCCAAGTGCAAGGTCTCCTCGTGAGTCACTGTTTCTGTCGGAGCTTCATGCACGACACAGTCGGAGCTCCGTGGTACAATCCATCCTTTGATTGCTCTAAGTGGTATTTCAGCAGTTTCTAATGGCATTTCAGCAAATACTAGTATTTCACTATTTACTGCTGGATTTTCCTCTGAGCTGACCATCCTCGAGCTCAACCCTTGCTATACCTGACCTGAGAATACTACCTAACTCACCAGAAAACTGCTCCAGACCAGGGCAGGTTGGGAAGAGCTATAAATGGGCCAACAAAACAGACTGAGAATGCCGTTGGTATGCTACCCACTCTGTTGCCCCCCAAATTTTCCTGACTGAGGTGGTCTCAAGTGTGCTTTCAGAGAACCTCACTGGATGTTAGAGAAATTCAACATTCATGCCAAGGTGGCATTATCTGGGCTAGTTCAGGCCATCATGGGACTGTTTCAATTATTTATCAGCCCATTATATAGAGGAGAACACATTCTTGCTTTAGCCTTTGTCTCTGTGCATAAGGCGGATGGGTCTGGAAGTTGTCCTGTCATACTGTCTGGTAAAATTTGGGCGAACAAAGAGTCTGCCCCAGCTGGAGTGAGTGAATCATTAAGATGGGTCACCATCTTATGGAATCATCACCATCTTATGGGTCATCCATCATATGGAATCTGACAGATACCTTACTTGGCTGGGGGAATTTCCAGAAGCCAGAGCCTGTTGAGGCTCTGCTTGTATTATGGAGTTGTGAAACACAATGGGTTGTTGACATGATAGCTCCCAAGGACCTCCTCTGGTGCTGTGGAGTCAGAAGTGATCTTTGGTTCTCTGGTGAGTTCCAAGCAATGGGCTGGGAGATGGCCAACGTATAAGTGATATAAAAGTTATTGTGAAGCCATCCATAAGCTTGTAAGAGCACATAACTGCACATACTGTGCAATGGTGAGCCCATTCAAGAAGGCCTCTATTGCAGCCTCAAGGAGTTGTCCAGTAGAGCTTACCAGGTAGTTCAAGGTTCATGGCCATCTATTACAGTAACTCTGGGTTGGCCTTCTTGAAGGCCTGCTATGATGGTTTGGTGAGGCACTGTGAGGATATATCACTCAGCATCATGCAAATTTGGTGAGGCACTGTGAGGATAAATCACTCAGCATCATACAAATACAGATTGCAGTATTGCTTGTCTGCAGTAGACGGGATTGCCATTGCTCAGTGTGGGGGTGCTTCTGGATTCATCATTGTCATTAGAGGCTTTTTTTGGACAGGGACAGCCTGACCATTATAGTTCATGCATTGTAATCTCATGTTTATATTACTGGAATGCACTTGGTATTTTCTCCAGAAGCTGCAGGGAGTGCAGAATACAGCAGCCAAGATGCTGACTGGAGAGCTCGGCCATGTACACCAGTGTTGAAGCAACTGCGCCGGCCACTTAGTAGCTACTGTGCCAAGTAGATGCTCTTAATGATGACACAGGTCGGTATTGAATAAGATGTATACTTACTTAAAACATACATGCTTCGAACAGCTTAGGACTGGGTTACTGGCAGATCGCCTTGCTCAGGACAGACCTGGGTGTCCATTAAGATCATCAGAGGAAGCCTTGCTGGTTGTTCCATGGCCTGGTACATTGCCATCTTGCAAGAAACAGGAAACCAGTCTTCTCTGTGGTGACCCTTACCTCACAGAATGCTCTTCCCTCTGATATTCAGGAGGTACCCTCAGGAGAAGGCTTTAAGCATCAACTGAAGGCCTGTCTCTTTAATCAGGCCTTCCCTAAATGAGAGTGTGGCCCTGCCCTGACTCTTGGCTTGTAATTGTATTGCTGTATTGGTTTTCATGTCATTACTGTTGCATATACATGTTTTAGCAATTATTGTGCATTTAGCTGTGTTTTAATGCAGTTTAATTTTCTTCAACCTCCCAGCAGTAGTTTAAAAATGGTCAGTGGCATATTAATCTATTAAATAAATTAATAATAAACTGTGTGCAGCACTACCCTCAAATGGGCTATTCCTGCACTCAATTACACCCAGAGTCCTGAAACATTAGAGCTCTGTGGCCAGAGGAAGGAGACCTCTCCTAATGCTGCGAACCTGAAACTGGCTTGGCTGCAGAGAAGAAATGGTTATGGTTGGGGGCGAAAGTAGATCGGTTTGGGCAGGGTTTCCCCTCTTCCTTACTTTCTTTTGCTGCCGCTCAGTTCATCAAGTATGAAGCCCCAGGATCCCATGTGCAACAGCATAAACAGAGTCTTGAATGACTTGCCTGGCAGCAGAAATGGCGGGGAAGGGAAAGCACCACTCTTAGCGTTAGAGTAAACTCAGCTCCCTTCCTCTTGGCCCACCCAGCTTTCTCTGCCTTGGCTTCCTCTTTTCACCCTACTTGTTCCTCCTTACTTGAGATACTGACTTTTCTCACGTTTATGTGGGAAGAGTGGCAACATGAATTTCCAATCTTAGGATTGCCTTTCCCTTGGCTTCAGTTGTCTTCAACCTCTGATTTACACCTTAAATGCACACACCAAATCAAGAGTACTGAAGGGATTCACATGAACCAGAGCCACTTCTCTGATGAAAAGGATCACCAGCCCCCACTGTTCAGAAGCCCTCCTCCACCTCCTGGCCACTTTTCTCTCTGTAAGATGAATCCCTTGGCCATAGAAATAAATCCAATGGCTTTATGAATGTGAGGCTTGGCTCCTATCATAGGGCTGTTCTGCAAATGTAATTGAGAGAACTCTGAATCAACAGCTCTGCATTCGGAAAAAAATGTAAACACTGGCAGAACCAGCATTTTTGCTGGCTACTTTTGGAAAAGAATAATGGAGTTAATCAGCCTTCATGGTTCTGGAGGAAGGCAGTTTACTAAACAAACAAATGAAGCTTTGTGAAAGAACAGCTTGAGGAAGCTAGCTTTTCAGGCATGCTTTTTCCAGAGGTGTTGTGAGCAAGCAAATAATTTAATTGCCAGTGATAATCAGTGTGACATTGCATAGAACTTATATCCTCTTTCTACATAAAAACAAAACTATTTCAAACACCAGTTTAGGAACTGTAGGGCAGCTAAAGCCAACTCCCATGGAATAGCTGCTGGGGTTTACATGGTTCATTTGTGTGAAATGGCATTTTAATGGAATTTCGGTTTCAAGTTAAAAAGCTCTGCAAAAATCCCCAAAAGCTATGAAAAAAGATTTCCTTACAGGTCCAGATTTCCATAGAAGCCATAAAATACTTGTGGCTAAATACAGTTAAACTTTCAAATAACTGATATATTAGTTGGATTTTATACTGGTTTGTATCCTATTGGTCATTGGCATGGTATGATTTGGTTTTATCCTTCTATTATATATTATTATTAGTATTTATTATTATTGAGTACCTTTACACAGCCCTGTAATATATTATGATCTAATGTATGTTCTTATGTTTTTAGATTATTTTAGTTTGTACACCTTTCTCAGAGCTGTTGCTAATGAAATGATTCATTTATAAGCCATTAAATAAATAAATATTGTTTGTAATAAATATAATGAGCATTTGGAGTCTACTTGAAATGCTAATTGCCACTTCTAGGTTTTAGATCATTCTTGACTAGAATGTTCACCCACATGTGACTGTCACTAGGTGGACATTACTTGAAGGTAGAGCCCTGGGGAAACTCAAAGGTATGAGGTAAGTATGTTAACATCTCTGGTTTTTAAATCTTTTCAAGCTTTAAAACATTTAGGATTGTTTTTAAGCAACAGCAGCAGCAGCAACATCCAAGCCAGCACAAATCTTGAAATGGCCTCAGAGTAATTGAAGATTATACAAGCAAACCATTTAAACAATACAGATGGTACATTTGGCCTCACCACAGGGAGACATGAATTCCACGTTGTTGTGTCATCACTGCTTGTGCTGATGCTGATGTTGCAGTTATCAATTTGTGATGCACTCAAATCACGTGAAGGTCCATTATCTTCCAACTCCTCATTCTGTTGCCGTTTCATACTAGCCAACATTTCAAGTTCGGAAGCACTCACATTATCTGGTTGGTAATTTCTGCAGTCATATTCCTATGAATGAAATTGAAATGAAACAGGAGTTGTAAAAAAGAATATGAAAAAACCACACAGAGATTCTTACAGGAGCGAACAGGAATGGTGTTCCTTCCAACACAAGGCCTGCTTTGACGCTGTATATTGCATTCCAAGGGCTTAGCTTTCTGTTCTGCAGCTTTAGGAAGGTGAATAAAGTCTCCATGAAGTCTTTATTATTACTGTATAACAGAAAAGAAAAGCCATTTAAGTGAACTAGACTGTATTCTTTAAAAAAAAAAAAACATTCCACTTAATTTAATAGCCAGAGCTGTCTGAATGGCTCACAAAAATTACAAGTCACAAAATCAAGTTCATAAAAACACAATATAAAATCTTTATCATTAAAAAATTAAAATGATTTAAAACAACTGAAACACATTTACAGTAAGATGCTAGAGCCGATAAAACAACAGAGGTAGATGCCTCATTGAATTGTCAAATGCATTGTCAAATGTTTGGAAGCAAAAGAAAGTCTTATCCCAGAAAGATAACAATGCTGGTGACAGGTAGACCTTGGTGTGGAGAGCTTTCCATAATTGGAGGGCCATCAAACAGCTGTTGCTAAAATCCAGTAATTTCAACAAAACCAGAGCAGCAAAATTAATTAAAAATCATTTTAGCTTGTTTTTTGATCAGAATGTATTCATTTGGCACCTTTCAGACAGAACATGGACTCAATATGCGGCTGAAATCTATACTATTTCTTTGATTTGTGGAACAGAAAAAAATGTCTTTGACAGCATATATACATTTGAAAAATAAATATGAAACATGTGCACAAATATGTTTTAACAATGGGAGAAGAAAATGTACATTTCAAAGATGACCATGGTTGTAAAAATATGCATGGAAATACATATGGATTTTTGTATAAACATAACAAAATTTAGGGGATATGTACTTGAGTCAGAAGGAGCATCAAAATGGAATTACAGAACTTGTGTGAGCTCAAGTTTTGCTTATTCACATATCTCTTAAGCTGCACTCAAAAGATGGACCTATCCAGCTTTCATACTTACTTTGAGACCATAGGAAAGCATGGAGAATCATATACCATATCACACACTGAGAATGCCTGCTTTTATGTGCTGAGGAAAAGTTTAACAAGAGAATTTGTGTTCAACAGAGAAAATGTTAAAGAATGTACATAGTCATTGTGACCCATAGATAAGAAGAGAGTTTGGAAGCCTGCTTGTTGGTAGTCATGAGATGCCTGTAAAAAATGTCAATTTCCTTGTTTTCCAAAGCAACAATGTATATATTCCTTATGTTCCAAGACAAGAAGGCAAATATATTTGTCACCCAAAATAAGCAAAAGAAGTAGGTCATATCTGTAGTTAAACTGTTAACCAAACATGGTAAAGAAGGTGTGCCAAAGCATATAAACAGTGTTAGATTACAATTCTTCGTTATTATCCCTTGATAGTATTAACCACCTGCATGCAGTTAATAATAAAGCTTCCTGTTGGTATTTTTGTGTGGCAATTACTGTACCTTGAAAGGACCTCCAGGTTTGAACCAGAAAGGAGGCTTCACCCTCTCCTGGGACTAATTTTGGAAGTCCGACATGCATAAGGCCCCAGGTTCAGGTTGCAATCTTATACCCATGAACCCTGAAGTAAACCCCATTAAATGTAATAGCACTTGCTTTTGAGTCAACCCGCATCAGGCTGTGCTGCTCATCTCTGGGATGTCCCGTTGAAAAGACCTCTGTCTGAGGTCACAGACAGCCACTACCAGTGAGGGTACACTATGCTGGATCAAATGGAGCAACACTTGTCTCAGTACATGGTCACTTACTATGTTCCTATAGCACAGAGCCAAACATACACACATTGTGGACTCCCAGTGTAACATATATGCATGTAACATTTTCTCTGAGTAGTTAGTTTCATGGAACTGTCCTTCTATAAGCTTACATACTTAAGACATTTCATCATTTTGGCAATAACTTATGTGTTCATTAAAGGAAAAATAGCACACTTCAAACGCCACAGCACAACCAACCTGCTTGCAAGGAAAGCCCTTGTGACCAATTATTCAAAGACACCAGGTGGTCCAAGAGGTCTTCTAGGACACCCAACTATAATATTGACCAATTTTTCAAATTACTTTCAGATCATTTCTTTTACAATTAAGCTCACTATCTTGGTAAACTGTGGTGGTGTCTAATACTATTGAAATATAAACTGAAGATAACCTTCCTTCAAGTTCATACAAGGAGAGAATCCATGACTGCTTGCCCAGAGTTCCATCCTTTCATATTACTTCTCTGACAGTTATTCCCAAATCTATTTAAGCCTTGAAAAATATTTTAGACAAAATATCAAGGCACTTGAAGGCCAAAACTGACATCTGAAAACAACAAAACAAGACCTCCCCCCTTGTCCGCATTTCTAAATGTTTATTAGGAAAGCTGCAAAAAGCGCGCGCGCGCACACACACACACACAAAGCCAGGCACTGTCATAAGGCACGGATATTAAAAAATGGAATTCTAGAAAGTTACTGTCCTCTTTATTAGTACAAGCACAAATATATTGGATGGCTAAATGCACATAGTGGGGAATCTATGGAAGATGGCCCTGGCATGCTTTATTTAGGAAGAGCAACTCTGAAAGGCAGTAATTTGAAATGAAAAAGTAGCGGCTGGAAGACCTGCATAACTTCTTTTTATCCACAACTTCTATATTCCAGGTCACCCCTGTAGAACTGATTTTCTTTCCATAGGGTTCAAAACTCATGTCAACAATCCAGAGGAAGAAAACGACTGGCACAATATGTACGAGAAAAACTGCAGATGGGGAAGGATTTAAACATCTTTCCCACTTGCTGTTTCTCCATTACAAATTCTTACCTCCCCAATTGGTTTGTTTTAAAATATCATTTGGTGTTATTCTATGCATCTTCTAATAATTAGATCCTCACTAAACACTTTTTAAATCATTTGAAAAAGAGGCTGGCTTCCAGGATGTCATTTCGTAAGAATGATGGGGCAATTACTCCCATTTAAAATCAGAAGCTTGTGCTAGAAGCAATCTAATGCCTTATTTTATATCGTCCAGGTTTAGTAGGGTGGCAACCTGTGAATTGCTAAAATATACACATAATCCCAAAAGGTGATTTGCATAAAATGTGCACAGGCAAATTTGTATGTATGAGCATGCATTCAGAAATGATTATTGTAATTTAAACAGAAATATAGCACATCTCACCATAGCATGGAAGACTGGGATCAAGTGACCTGCATGCCTGCCTTTGGTCCAGTCTGCTGCCCCAGTGCTTCCCTCTGATGGATCTTTATCCTTATAGTGGGCTTGGAATGGGCAGTCTTCAGAGAGAGGATGTAATGAAAATAGAGGGTTGTCCTCTGTCAGCAATTCACAATGAGCAGTGTCTTCTCTAAAAAGAGACACATGGCTACCTTAGTTCAGAGGCGGGATTGTCCTTGAGCACCCCTTCAAGGAGGGCAGTGTCTTCTGTAAAGAAGGACAGAGGGTCACATTTGTTCAGAGGCAGTAGGCCTCAGCTTCTGGAGAAACAACGGGTACCTGCTTGTGGGTAGCTTTGAGGGGTGTGATGGACTCCATGGGAAACAGGATGGTGATTGTTGGTGGACTACATAGGCCTTTTCCTATGTTCCTCTCTTTGAAAAAAGCAATACAGCTATTTAATACAATTGCCTTGATATGGTACCTATGTGTTAATCTTAACACTTTAAGTTTTGAGGTTGCAGATCAGTCACTAACAACTGTAATGACTGTTTCTAAGTCAGTAATTACCAGACGTGTGCAATCGAGAGAATATCATCGCCAACTTTAATGAAAGGCGTGATCAGACGTGTCTTCTGAATGAGTAGCTGTTGTCCATGCCCACACTAACTTCAGCAAACAAATGCTTCCCTTACACATTTATTGCAGTGCCACTTGGGTAAGCATTAAACCACTGCTGTTCATCTCTGATTTCCTCTCATGCTGAGAAGAAAGCAGTTATTGTTCCCTATTGCAAATCTAATGATTAAAATGACTATGGAGCATATTTTCTTAGAAAAGGGAGCCCTACAGAGAAGAGAAGAGAAGAGAAGAGAAGAGAAGAGAAGAGAAGAGAAGAGAAGAGACAAGCAAAAACTTCTACATACATAGAGATACATATATTGTTTTGCCATTATCTGCAGTGTCATGCATGGAAGAACTGTTGTTTTAATACTTAGAAGCTCTATGCATGGATACACTGCAGCCCTCTCAAAAAATGTTTTCTGGGATTTGCAGGCACACACAGATTCCATTTCATCCTATTTCAGTGTTCTAGAGCAGGGGTGAACAAGCTGTGTTCTTGCAAATGTGTTGGCCTACAGCTGCCATCAGCCCTCACCAGCATAGCCAATGGTAATGGATGCTGGCAGTTGCAGGCCAAAACTCCCAGAGAGCCTCATGATACATACCCCCTCAGAAGGGCTCTGCTATGCACATCATACTTGCACAAGTCGGGCCGCCTTGTTGGCTCCACTCCAGTAGCCCGCCTTCATGCAGAGTTTTACTGCGCAGCAGCACGCAGCCCTTTGCATATGCATGAGGACGTCTAGGGCAAGACTTTTAAACTGCTCCAAAGCTCTACAGAAGTCTATTCTAGAAGCTCCCCTTCCAGTAGCACTGTTCCTCTCCAGGACACAGACATAATGATACCAAGTCATACATCCCTCTACACGCCCCACTCCTCAGAACACTGTGTCTTATTCGTGTTACTGGCCAATTGCTATTCCTTTGGAAAAGACCTTTAAAATAAATTTGCTGCCCCCACAATTGCCTGAATAACACTACTCCATTTGCAGTCCACAACATGTGCCTCTTTTTTTAGGTAATGGGTGGTATTGATTTATTACCTGGGTGTTAGTGTCACCCATAATGTTTTAGGTACCTTTACAAACTTAGACAACATTTTCAAGCCTTCCTTGAAAAAACACACATTTTATTTTGAAGC